AATTCAGGAAACCACAGGATATTCTCCCTTTTTTCCTGATGTTTGGAAGAGAACCCACGTCTCTTTTGGACGACAGGAATATCTCGGTGGACATTGACAAGGATGATTATGATGAATACATAAAACATCACTTAGACAAAATAGACAGAACAAGAAAATTAGTTATTAACAACACAATAAAGACTCAAGAAAGAATGAAAAAGAACTATGACAAGAAACACATGGAAAGAAACTACGAACCAGGAGAATTAGTAGCAGTTTGGACACCAATAGGAAAATAGGAAAGTGTGAGAAACTTCTGAGAAAATATTTTGGTCCATATAGAATATTAAAAAAGATGTCTAGCGTCAATTATCTAATAGAACCGAAAGATAATCCGGGCCAAGACCCTCTGATAGTTCATGTTTCAAGAATCAAGCCTTATTATGAGAGAATGGATGAGGTCATTCACGAGGACGTGACAACCTCTGGAGAGGGGGAAGTGTTACATCAATTTTAATGCGCCTTACATTTATTCAAAATATTCTATGATATTTAATATTTATTTAAAACAGAATATTTAGATTAGCATCATTCCTTTTTATAGTTTCACTCCTTTTTAAATATTTATTGTACATATATCTTTTATGCTGATTGGAGCGGGAGAGGACCTGGACGAAGACGGCGGATCGCAACCTACGAGGAAGACAAGAATAAATAAACACAATAACTTTAAAAGATAATTTATTTTTATTTAATTTTATTTATTTACTTTTAATATGGAAACCCGCTCGGGAAACGTGTATAACACCAAGAAGGAAGAAACCAAGGTCGACGACCCTGCAAAGCTTCAACTTGGTGCAACAATATATCGCCGCAACTCTTTTTTATTATTAACGCGATTAAAAGCTTTCGGGCGAGCCCTTCTTCAGCTAATTATAGCTGAAGAAGGGCTCGCCCGAAAGCTTTTAATCGCGTTAATAATAAAAAAGAGTTGCGGCGATATATTGTTGCACCAAGTTGAAGCTTTGCAGGGTCGTCGACCTTGGTTTCTTCCTTCTTGGTGTTATACACGTTTCCCGAGCGGGTTTCCATATTAAAAGTAAATAAATAAAATTAAATAAAAATAAATTATCTTTTAAAGTTATTTAAATTATTTATATTATTATATAATTAGCTGAAGAAGGGCTCGCCCGAAAGCTTTTAATCGCGTTAATAATAAAAAAGAGTTGCGGCGATATATGATTCCTTCTTTCTAACATATTGTTAGTAGCGCAGATTATACAACAATAAAAGTCTTTGTTAAGATTTTTGCTCTTATACAGATTCTCCAAGTAGAAGAGGGTATATACAGGAATAACAGTTGCAATATTATCAGCAATGTTATTTACAATGTGTCAAATAAGGGAAGAGAGAAGCAAGAAAGGGCTTGGCATAAACTTATAAGCAAGCAATCGAGAGCAAGAAGTTACTTTTCTTAAAAAACAATAATTAATAGTATTGACGGAAATATAAAACCATGCATTATACACAGCTGGCCACCCAAATTGCAACACAGGCTAGGTCCGCTTCTGCCGCTAAATCCGCTCCCGTGACAAAAGTCACGCCGCCAGCCAGTGTCAGTGACCAAGCCTTCACGACACAGCTACGCGCCGACGCTGCGTAACAGTGCCAAACATGTTAAGTTGGCTTCCGCCGATCTTTCTGTCAAGGAGCTAAGGGCGAAGATTGCTCAGACTCCCAGCTTGAAGAACTTGGATGTTGCCGCTGTGACTGGGGGGGGGGGGTAAAAAAACTGGTCCTCCACTTTACCAATCCCTCTGAAAAAAAAAAGAGGTTTGTTGACAATGTCAAGACCGGGCTCGCTATCTTTGGAGTTCCATCTGAGAAAACCGAGGAGCAGCTTGCGGCTGATATTAGAAACCATCCTGCTGTCGAAAAGTTACTGAAAAGCGACGCCGATTGCAGGCTGGTTAAACTGATAAGAAAAGAGGGCTCATCCTCCACCGCGATAGTAGAGGTGAATAAGGCTGTTGAGACTGCTCTACTCGAGCGCGGTAGGATCACAATAGACTACCTCTCCCTGAGACTCGCAAGGGCTAAGCGCGTCTTTCCCTGCGGTGTCTGTGGCAGCCTGAGTCACAGGACCCACACCAACGGTAAGAAGTGTACCAGGGCGGCCACTGCACTGGTGCAATCTGCCGAGGCCCGTGACAACAAGGCTATATATAAAACGACACTTGCAAGTTTAACCGCATGAGTTTCTTTTCAACGACAAATTAAAATTTTTTATTTTAAGGTGAAATATCGACAATTTCTAGCCTTTTGGATGAGGTATGAAAGGATGAATTATGAAGAGTAATGACGAACGGAAAAATAAAAGTGCTGATATGTGTTGGAGATGTGTGCGAAAGTTTTTTTGAGGTCAACGCGGAAACAATCGGCAAGGGTAGGGTCAAAAGAGTCAGCATAAGGGGCAAGGATGTGGTAGGCCCAGGTTAGATGTAGGAGGTGTGAGGGGTTGTTGATGGGGAAAAGGTTACATGTGGGTGGAGGTGAGTCGGGGGTGTAGTGTTGTTGTGGTGGTTGGCGTAGGTGGGGTGGCGTGTGAACATATGTAGATGAGGTAGGGTGAAGAGGGGTGGAGGAGCTCACCCCAGGTCGACTGCCGAGGTCCTGATCCCCGCCAATGGTAGGGTCGAGCAGGGAGTTAAACATGCTCGGTGTGGTCGTCTTGGCAGGAGGAGTCAGTGCCGGGAGAGGAGCTGGAGGAATCCTTGGGAGGGGGGCAGAGAACCCCCTGGAGTTGAAGAGGTGTCAGAGGTGGGGGTGGCCCCCAGGGAGGGCGGTGGGAAGAGGGCGCAGGCCGGGGCGGACCCGCCGCTGGCGGTGGGAGGGCCCGCCGGCAGGTGCGCGGGGCGAGCGGCGAGCCGCCGGATGCGTGGCGGCGGAGCCAGCACGGCGGAGGTTGGAAGCACTCCAGGCAGTGGAGGGAGGTCGAGTGGCGGCGTGCGGCCGCTCAGGAGGTCCAGCGCTCTGATTGGACGCCTGCAGGAAAAAAATCAGCGCGACGGACGGCAGCAGGCGGCCGCCCGGGAGGACCGAGGAATTAAAAAAAATGAACAAACGTTCGGCAACTGAATTTGGCCAAAAAATCCAAGGGGCAGGACAGGGTGGAGGTGGTCCCACGGCAGGGGAACCCGCGGGGAGAAGAAGGCAGCGGACCCCGCGGAGGCAGGAGCGCAGAGGGAGGAACCGCGCGGTCGGAGTCCGCGGCGACTATCCGACTTAGCTGGCTGGCTTTCGCTTCCGGGCTAAATGTTCAAATGGGCATGGACTTCTAACCCCAACTTCTTGGCTCATCATGGCTGCAGACGCGATGTCAGGTGGCAAGGGATCCTAGGATCTGGCGGCAGGCGATGTCTCGCAGGGATGGTGGAATCGTTGGGAAAGCAGGGGAGCAGCGCCAGGGAGCAGTGAGGCAGGAGTCTTGCATAGGCCAGAATCCAGTAGAAGGTGGCAGGTGGAGTTGGAGGCAGAAGGTACTTGAAGCCTAAAACGTGAGGGCCTTAGATTTCAGGATGGGGCAGCTTGAGGCTCTCGCCTCGTGCTTGTCAGGAAGGCCCTTTGGGCAGCAGTTGGCACATTTGAGGGTGCGCTGGTCAGCAATGGATGGGCAGGCGCGGCCTTCGTGGCCGTCTTCACCGCAGTGGAAACACTTAGCAGACGCGGGCGCGAATGGACTCCTCGAAGTTGAGGATAATGCCATCAACCACGATTCTTCCGCGAACGCCCAGGGCTCCAAAGGTCTTGAGGTCCACCTCGATGAAGGCGGTGCAAGTCCCGTTTCTTGGCGCAGAACGGTGCGCCGCGCGCACCACTTTTTCTCCAGGGAGTTTGCTGACAGCAGCGGTTTGCAGGAAGGTCTCCTCGATTGTGGAATTGGAGGTCTCCTCATCCACTCTGAAGAGGCAGATTCTTGGCAGGATCTTCTTCTGCTGGCGGACCTTCATTCCCGTTAGCTTGCTGGCCAGGGAGGTTGTCACCTCAGGGATGATGTCGGGATTGCTGGAGTGGAGGACCAGCTTCCCCTTGGTTCGCAGAGAGGCCCAAACGCCTTGGGGTAGAGTGTGGGCAGCACGGACAGCCTTGTAAATCTCCCTTGGGTCAGCCTGTGGGTCATCAGAGACGACCACTGTGTGGGCCGCCGATTTTTCCCCATGGAGGACCACTTGGGCGGCCGCAGGCTTGGGGACGCGGGAAGGCGTAGGTTTTGTGGGACCTTTCAAGTTGGATCTTTTGGCAGGGGGGTTGGGAGCCTCAGGCTGCTTCCTCTTGGTTGCAGCAGGAGTGGCGGGCTTGGTGGGGTCAGTCTGGGAGCTGGTTTTCTTTAAGCAGGGAGCAGGGCTGGTTTGGGTGCTGTGGCAGTCAGTCTGGGGCTTGTTGGCACCTTCGTCCTGCTCCTTAAAGGACGCGAGGATGCCAGAGAGGCTCTCCACCTCAGCGAGGAAGGCTTTGATCTGTTCAGACCGCAGCTCGATGAAATTTATCGAGCCCTGATACAGGGGGAACAGGGTGTTGGGGCCAGAGGACTGCAAGGCATCGCGGTAGTGTTGCCTCGCCTCCTCGTTCTCCTTTTCCAGTTGAGCGAGGGTCACAAGGGGCTTCTCGGCGTTCTTCTTCTTCTTCCTAGAGGGAACCATGGCAGGAGCAAGAGAGCAGAGATGTGCACAGGTAGAGTGCTAGCTGGCTCGATCTGAGAATCCGACTTAGCAGCAAATTGTGCTGTTTTATAATGCACCCCAAGTCTAAACCTGGGTAGGTGAGAGCCAATCAAAATGGAGAGTTGATGGCGACCGCTTTTGAACGAATTGCTGACATTGGGCACACTTTTATCTTTCTTTTTGAAAATTATTTTCAATTTTTTTTTTACCCTGTGTATTTTGGCTTTTAATGTGTGAAAACAATATAACCACAAGCTGCTCTTCAGTTTTCTCAGAAGGAATCCCGAATATAGCAAGCCTCGGCTTGAATGTAGGATTCGTCTGGACTTTAAGTCTACCAATGTTGGCGGACTTAACATTGTCCACGAACCTCTTTTTTTCAGAGGAGTTGGCTAAGTGGAGGACAAGTTTCTTGTCCCCCCCCCCAGTCACAGCGGCCACATCAACATTCTTTAAACAGGGAGTTTGGGTGATTTTTTTGCCCTGATTTCACTAACAGACAGCTCCGCGTGATTAATGCTGTTACGCAGCATATGCACGTTACTTGGTCGTGTAGGTTTGGTTGGCTTAACACCAACATTGGGTGATGGTGCAGGTTTGGCATTTTTAGCAGAGGCTGCGTATTGCGCCCTAATCTCAGCAATTTTAAGATCGCAACCCTTCAATTTCTGTTTGAAAACGTCCACAACGGTGGTCTGTAGTTGGCAAAGTAGCATGTCCATTTTGCCGTATGATTTTTTAATAGCTGAAGAACCCAGTTCCCCACCTAGACCTACACCAATTTCATATTGTAGGATCTGCCTAAAGCTTCGGGTTTCGGGACAGGAGAGGGTGGTGTTGTCAATTAGAAGATGGGGAGGTTTGCAGAAAATGGGTAGAACCAGGGAACTCCAGGGAGGAGACGGCATTGACATCTCCAGCGAACAGAAGGCGAGGAGGAGGTGGGGAGCCGAAGAGAGTGAGGAAGGAGTCTACTATGGGGGAATAAGAAGCTTTGTGTGGGAAGTAAACAGAGCAGATAGTGAGATGGAAGCCTGGGATGTCGAGAATGGCGAGGGTACGGTTGGTGGTAGAAAGGCGAGGGAGGAAGACCACAGGCAGGCTCTGGTTAAGAACCACGATGTAGGTGCTGCACTTGTTCTGTGTGATGGGAGCGTGAAGGAAAGAGGCGGAGGGGATTGGGAAGGGAGAGGCGAGAAGGCCTTTACGGACCGGCAGTTCTTGAAGCAGGAGGATATCTATGTGAGAGGACTGCGCGGTTTCGAGAATAGAGAGGAAGCAGGGGAGGGAACGGTTGCAATTTAGCTGCAGGAACCTAATCATGGGATTCCATGCGTTGTGAGGAAGGCAGACTCTGCCGCCTTAATGATCGGGCAGGCAAGGGAATCCGCCCGGTGTTGGTTGTTGCTGCTGCACCGGAAGCATCTAGGGGGAGAGGAGATTGCTGCTCATCCACTTCTTGATATTTGCCTATTTCTGATTTCGTGTGTATCGACACCTTGCACTTTTGGCAGTTGACACAAGCTTGAGCCCATTTCCTAATGTCTTTATTCATATTGGGCCATATGAATCTTGACGTTAATTGTTTAGTAGTGGCTTTAATGCCTGGGTGTGAGAGTTCATGGAAGTTCCTAAAAACCATCATTCGGAATTTAATTGGAATGAATGGTCTAATATTATTAGTATACACGTCACACCATAACAATTTGCTTGATTGTAGTGGGCATTGCTTAAATTTTAGAGAAGTGTTCTTTGATATCAGGTTTTGTAGTTCTGAATCACCAGTTTGTTCTTTGGCGATCTCTTCATAGTCGATGGTTGTGATAGCATCAACTCTGGACAGAGCATCGGCGACTATGTTGTCAGTACCTTTTATGTACTTGATGTCAGTAGAGAAATGGGAGATGTATTGTAGATGTCTTAATTGTCTAGGAGAAGCTTTCTCATTTTTTTGTTTGAATGCGTAAATTAAAGGTTTGTGATCAGTCAAAATTGTAAATTCACGTGCCTCAAGCAGGTGCTTGAAGAATTTGATGGACAAATATATTGCGAGAAGCTCTCTATCATATGTACTATAATTGCATTGAGCAGGATTTAATTTTTTTGAGAAAAATGCTATTGGTTTCCAATTATTATTGTCAAGCTGTTGGAGAACTGATCCAACTGCCCGATCTGAAGCATCTGTACAGAGTGAGATAGGCAGTTCAGTATCGGGGTAGGCTAACAGTGCTGTATTAGCTAGGGCTTGTTTGCATTTTTCAAACTGAACTTCAGCTTCTTCAGTCCATTTTATTTCGCTTCTATCCTTTTTCTTGGCTCCCCTCAAGTATTCATGAAGGATTGCCTGAGTCTCTGCGGCATTGTTCAAAAAGGTACGATAAAAGTTAGCATTCCCAAAAATATGCGTAATTCATGAACTGTTTTTTATTCTTATATTCTAGAATAGCTTTAACCTTTGTTGGGAGTGGTTTCACACCGTGAGAGGTAATTAGGTATCCTAGAAAATCAATTTCCTGTACTAGGAATTTAGATTTAGGAAGATTGATTCTCAATCCATAGGAATTTAGTCTGCTGAATAAGGTTTCAAGGTGGCTATAATGCTCTTCCTCTGTTTTAGAGGCTACCAGAATATCATCTAAGTAGACAAATGCAAAGTCCAAGTTTCTTAATACTTCATGCATGAATCTCTGAAAGGTAGCAGTAGCATTTCTAAGACCGAAACTTATTACATTAAATTCGAATAGCCCAAAAGGAGTAATGATGGCAGTCTTTGGTTTATCCTCTTCAGCAATTGGAATCTGATAGAATGCCTTGCATAGGTCTATTTTTGAGTACACACGAGTACCTTTTAAGATGTGGTGGAAATCGTCCAGTCTAGGGATTGGATAACGATCTGGAAGTGTAACTGCATTGAGTCTTCTATAATCACCACAAGGTCTTAGTGACTCGTCCTTTTTTGAAACTAAATGTAGTGGACTCGCCCAAGGAGAATTTGAGGGTCTAATTATTCCATTATTCAACATATATTGAAATTCTGCCTTAGCAAGAATTAATCTCTGTGAATCTAGACGACGGGCTTTTGAGTGAATTGGCTGACCTCTTGTAGGAATATAATGCTTAACGCTATGTTTTGCTTCTACAAAATCTGATGGTGGCCTACATAGGTTAGGATATTTGGTTAGGATAGCGCTGACCTTGGATGATGAGTTTAGAGTGCTAATATTTCCCATGTGTGAGATTGACTGAATGACGCCTCTTATGGAAAGATTAGTTATCCCATCAATTAGGCGTTTATTTTTTATATCAATTACTAATCCAAAGTTTTTCAGAAAGTCTGCTCCTATTATAGCTCTGTTAGTATTGGCGATTACAAAAGGCCATTGGAATTGACGTCGAAGTCCGATATCCAAATTTCTAACCTTTGTTCCATAGGTAACAATTTCTGTACCATTGGCTGCATATAATTTATAATCAGAGCTAGGCATCCTATTTTTATCCTTTGGAGGTATTATAGAAATATCAGCGCCACTGTCCACCAAAAAGCGCAATCCCGTGTTTTTGTCCGTCACAAATAATCGGAGATTGCGACAATCCTGAATGCCGCAGAAGAGCTTGTCGCTACTCTGTCCGCCGGTTGGAGTTTTCCGACTCTTTCCAACTGCACGGAGACCTGCATTTATTTTGTAAGCAATTAGGACCAAATCTAAAATGGTAATAGCAGTATTTCCCTTTTGGATCGAAAGATCTTTGAGAATTACTTCTCGGTCTTGACTGAGTCCTATTTTTGGATCGAGATCTAGATCTATCCAGTCTCAATTCGGACACCTGCCGTTCAAGATCTTCCAATTTGGCGATCAAGCGATCTGTTGATGAAGAAGGCACTTCCGCATCATATATTTCTTTGGAAGAGTTTATTTCATTTATTTTATCGGCCATTATGGCCAATTTGCCAATGTCCTCTTCGCTTACAATAAGTATATTCTTTATGGATGTGGGCAGTTTATCGAGCCATAAAGTTTTTATTAAATTGTCAGAGATATCTGGGGTAGCGAGGGATCTGAGCTTTTGTAATAACTGGCTCGGCTTCATGTCTCCGAGCTCAATACCTGAAATTAACTTTTTAATTCTCAACCCTTCACTTTCTCTGAACAATTCAAGTAGTCGTGATTTACATTCAGAGTACTTGTTGTCGCCTTTGCTATTAATTATGTCCCAAATGTTTTCTATATATTTAGGTTCTAATTGGGAGATCAAATAATTAAATTTAGTGTCTTCCTGAATAATTCCACCTATTTTGAACTGTGCTTCTACCTGGAAGAACCATATTTCAGGTTTTTCAACCCAGAAAGGCGGTATTTTAACACTAACTTTGCATATTTCTGAGGTATCGCTAGGCTTATTTTCTGTTTCCATTTTACGTAAATTTAAATTCGACACAACAGCTTAGAGATAAAGTTAAAAATAAAAATATTGAGATAAAATAATAAGGAAGATAATATAAAAACTTATCTTAGTCTTGAGATGATATCCCGATATCCTGGATGATGCTTCTTTTCAAGCTTGAATCACTTTTTGCATTTCTTTATCTCTTGAAATCTTCGTATGCTTTTTCTTTTCAATCACGTCGGCTCACCAAATGTGGTGTGTCGATTTATGGTCCAGCGATGGCTCAGAAAGTCTCTCAAAGTTAGTGTTTTATTGGCGTTTTTTGTTGGCTACATTTATATGGGAAGACCTAAAAGCACAACACCCTGGAATGCACATCCGGTCCTCTCTGGGTTCCCCCGCTGTGCCTTCCTGGCGCAACGGTCGTCCTGGTGATTTATGGCGCCGCCTGTTTATATTTCTTGACGGCGGGTGCGGCATTCAGCAGGTCCCCACAGTTGAAAGTGGTACTCACCCATTTTTGTCTGTGTCTCTTGCTTGACCATAGCGATGTTTTCTTCAGGTTCTAGTCCTTGTAGTCTTCGGCTTCTTCTAACGGCTTGGGCGTCGAGGGAATATTCCAGCTTCTCCACCAGTTGTCATGGTAGTGATAACGAGTATAACAAAAGTTTAAGTAAAAATAATTTATTTATAAAAATGCAAACTATTTCTAAAAATGTATTTATAAGTAATAATATAAAAGAATGGTAAGGGGTGATGACTATGCAAATATTAATGATGATATATCACAGAATATTTAAAATAATTATTCAGTGACTGTAAAATCTTTGTTTACGTAATATAATTAGCAAACGTATTATAAGATTTATTTATTGGGGTATTAGATATATTTATTTACTTACAGGATTGTTGTTAGTATTAGATAGCGTTAATTCTTTTATTTACATTCTATATCGAACTCAACTGTGTTGCCGAGTACGATATTAACTATATTACATCT